GATTTGAAAAGGTCTACAAAAAATCTAGAATAATAAAATCTACCACAAAAACTAAAGTACAGGTGCAGTTCCTGAAATCCTAAATAAAATGAAACCTTAAGATCTGTTGAGCGTAAATGTAACATACTAAAAAATGTTGACTTCAAATAAGGTACATTTTCCGAAACTTGCGACAAATGCTGAAAACAAAGTAAATGTTGTCTGAAAGATTGCTGATCATTGGCAGAAGATAGCCATCAAGCTGGTTATCATTTATCAAGTTTCAGATTCTTATTCAAGAACACAAGCCTATTTACTGATGCAGGCTTCAGTGCAGACATTTTACAGGTCACAATTCCCTCCTGTGCTGTAGAAACTTTCAGAGGCTGCATAGAGGCTTGGATGCACAGTTTTTTTGCCAAACAACTAAACTGAGGAATGTTAACCTCATGCATTTTCTACCAGTTGAGAGGATAACTCGGTCTGCTGGAGGACAATCTAGGCGTCACCCTCCATGACAAGTGTGTTGTAGATTATGTCAAAGCCCCAAACAGGCAAATTGTTTGGCAGAAGAAGAATAAAAATAGAAAGAAACGCAATGATTTAAATAGGTCTTCACATCACCTTCAGAGTTTGGGTCTAATTGTATACAGATGTGATTTTGTCAGACTCTGCCTCACTGTTGATGAAACCCACCACGTCTTTGTCCTCTACTCACCTGTGTTCTGATTGTAGGCATTGCCCACATTTAATATCACTCTTCTGTAGATTAATGTTGTGTCCGTGTCGAAGGGTCCAGAAGCTCCGCTCGTATCCAGTGCAGTGCTGAAAGCTACCTTGGTTGCTCCTAAAGAGGTATTTTAAGGAGAACAAAATGTTATGTTTTACAATATAAAACACTTTTACCTGAAAATTTCAAGACATCTTAACAAAAGTGAAACATCACCTTTGCTCTTCAGTTCAACAACCTGGTTTTCAGTCTGCTGCAGTTTTTGTCTCAGTCTGCTGCAGTTTTTGTCTCAGTCTGCTGTTGTTTTGTCTCAGTCTGCTGCAGTTTTTGTCTCAGTCTGCTGCAGTTTTGTCTCAGTCTGCTGCAGTTTTATCTCAGTCTGCTGCAGTTTTGTCTCAGTCTGCTGCAGTTTTGTCTCAGTCTGCTGCAGTTTTGTCTCAGTCTGCTGCAGTTTTGTCTCAGTCTGCTGCAGTTTTGTCTGCTGCAGTTTTG